CTGTAATCAACTGTCGAAGAGCTCGATGTCCACCTTCCTTCACCACTTGGGCAACTTCTGTCGACGTGCCCGAAGCAAACTGAGGAGTAACTGGAATAGGTGAAAAATCGTCGAAAGTTGAATAATACTCGCCGCGACGCCCGTACACCGCATGAGATGAAAATGCTCCGGAAGAATACTCCACTGAAAACAAACAAGTTAAACATTTGTTAGTCTCAATCATAAAAGGAAGTTGAACTCATCCTACGAATGGGTAAGATAGAGTCACTGCCTTATAAAGGGTGAGACGATTTGGCCACATTATGCACTTATAAGGTAGGATATATCAAAAAACATATCCCTGCCTTATAAGGCACAATGCAGCGACAAAACGCCCCCTTTATTTATTATGAGATATGATTTTGACCAAGCAAAACCCATCTTTAAAGCGTCGATCCTCACCAAGGAGAATCAATGCTCTTCTCGATTGCCTCACCAAGGAGAACAAAATGGGGATAAAAAGGACCAATTTGTAAATTTCTAAGAAAAAATGGACTAATTTGTAAATTTCCAAAAATAGCTCACCAGCATACGAGGGAGGCGCGCCATCAGCCGACGCGGTAGAGGATTGACCTCTCGCAATACGAGACATAGAGACCTGCAAAATAAATTAAGGGATCAGATCCAGGAAAAAATTCCTCTTTTTGCAATTCTCCCCCCTGAAAGATGAGCTCGAGGCGTCAAATCTTAATCCTAACCCTCGCATGCGATCCCACAAATTCATAAATTAAATTAAGCATGAAATATGCTAAAATTGTGGAGGATTTACCTGAGGGAAAGCTCGAAGATCCGACAAAAATCAAATCTTGAAAGAGGCTCGAACCACGCGCTCGAGGGGCCTGAGAGAAATTCTAAATATGGAAAATTTGAGGGATTTCTCGGTCAAAGATCAAAAGGAAGAACGAATTTAAGACAAATATGAAGATTTGAGGAAGAACGGATGCACGAGGGAAGAGAAATCCAAAAATAGGGGAGAGAGGGGGGCCGACCCTAATATGAGGAGAAAAAGACCCCTTTTTATAATGTTGAACCAAGCCTAGTTGAACCGGACCAGACCAAGTTGAACCGGACCAGACCTGGTTTGAACCAGAATTCAAATTGAAGCTGGATCGAGCATCGAAACAACTTCAAATCGACCGAGGGTTCAGTCCTTGGTTTATTCTTGCCTCTCCCACATATTCGGAAGGATCAGAAGATTTTTTGAGCCTAATTACTGCCTTTTTTAGCTCATTATCATTATCAAGCCGGTTCAGCTCATTCGGGCACAGAAATTACTCCAATAAGGTATATGAGTATAAACTATTCCCTATTCTTGGTTGAGAAGTTCCTGGAGAATATTTTTATAAATATTCTTAAGGATAACTCAACAACACTACGCCGGACAACGCGTCGCAAATAAAGACTCAACGCCAACAATCGATGGTCAGTTCTATGTTGAACCAACAAACACGAGCTAAAGATCATAAAATCAGGAATCGACTTCAAATTCAAAATTCCGACAACGGTCAGACAATAAATGCAGCACCGGAACTCTTACAGACATTCGACAAAGCACCGAATAGCCCGGAGGATTGAAGGAATCAAGAACAGAAGCCATTCCAAGGTCCCGTTACACCGACTGAAGGTTGGGACAATCATATCCAAAGTATTCCAGACTCTTCTATAAAAGAACGAGGCTGAAATACTTTGGAGGGGGTATCTGTAGGCATATAAAATTGCTTATAGGTCCCCTAAACCAACGAGGCGACGAGATCGACGAATCGCACGCAAGAAACGAAATACATCCATTCGCATTTGGAATCAGCCGGCCACCTATAGGTGGCCGACCCAGATCTGTGTGCGGGCACAGTTCAGAGAGCCTATAAATAGGCCCCCTTGGTTCATTTTTCAAGGGTTGGAACTTTGAGAGCCGAAACTCTGCCGAATTGAGAATTGAGCTTGGAGTTTTGAAGACTTGAGGACTTGAACATTCAGATCTGGTTCTCGGTGAGCATCCACGTCACAAAAGGCAGGAGTTTGAGAGAGAGAAAGATCAGATCTGAGATCTACACGAGATCATACTCCGGATCAAAGCTTGGCCTTTGATCCCGAGAACTAAGGGCGATTATTTCCTTGGTGAATTAATCCCCCCCGGCTATTATTTCCTTCGTGAAATAATACCCGTCAAATCGTGTAGATCCAACCGGATCTAGATCGCGCGGTGGTCCACGGATTAACCCCGGCGTTGGCAAAGAACCCACACAAGCGAGCGACCGCAAAACAGGAGCTCGTGATTCGTTCGAAAGGAAAGTTGTAATCTTTTTTCTTTTTCTTTGATTTCGTTGTAACCGGATCTAAAAAAGACCGGATCTTTTGTAACCAAAAAGCAATTACTTGAGATAACAATGAATTCAATGAAGGCAATTTTCACCGCGAACAGAAACAAGTAAAACACATCTTTGGTTTAGTTTCTTTGTCTATTAGTGACCTAAAATAAAAGCAGATTGTAGTTAATGAGATTTAGCTCCCAAAGGCATTAGCCTGTATAATAACTAGTGAAACATATACCTAGATGATGCTACTGTGTCTACATAATTGACTTCTCTCTGAATTGATGTGAGAAATAAAATTTGTCTTTGTTAGAGGAGATATGATCATTTATGTGATGACAAAATGAACACGGTATTCGTTTGGTCACCATGTGCCTTCCAGTTAGACCAGTTCATTTCTTAAATTCACAACAATTAAGGTTCCAACCGAACTTATAAAATGTTGTGGACCAAATGTGTAAATGAATGACAGAGAAAAACAAGACATATGAACTTATGCATACCTGAGATAAAAGATCAATTGTACGCCGTAGAAGTCGAGCCAGCTTCCGCCTTGGGGAGGACGCCGTAGCGCTTGGCGAGGACGGAGGAGGGGCAGGTTAGGGGAGATAAAAGATCAATTGTACGCCGTAGAAGTCGAGCCAGCTTCCGCCTCGGGGAGGACACCGTAGCGCTTGGCGAGGATGGAGGAAGGGCAGGTTAGGGTTTCGAAGAGGCGAACGGTGACGGCGTCACGAGTGCGCTGGGTGGGAGGCCAGATGTTGAGGGAGAGGGAGAAGGAGGTTGATGATGGGGATTTGGGGTTGGGGCTGGGGTTAGGGTTTTGGAACTGGGGATCCTGGGGCTTAGGCTTTGAGCGTGAGAAGAGAGGCGAGAGAAAGAGGGAGGGGGAGGGGGAGGAGATTGAGAGGAGGAGGAGGAGAAACCCACAGAGGAGGAGGAGGAGGAGGAGGAGAAGAAGGGGCATTTTCGGGAGAGAGTGAGATTAATTTATGGGAGAGCGTGAAAAAGGAGCTGGACACATTTTTGGAGTGTCTTCGGGGTTAAAGAGAAAGGGAAAAACATAGAGGGGCTGGGTCACATCCTCTTTTTTTGGGGGGGCCTAGAAACATTTTTCCCATTAAAAAGACATCTATAATTTGGGCGGATATGGATCCCCTCTGGTTAGATAGTAATTGAAGAGGATCCAATCATCATGAACTCTCCCATCTATTTTAATCTCAAAAGGATGAAATATTGTCACATGGTTTCCAATATTATAACAGTATTTTTGAAAATTTCATTGTTGATTTAGGTAGATAAAATTCTCATTATTAATAAAACATAATATTTCTAAGAAACAAAAAAAGGGAAAAAAAATTCTTCACACAAACTCTCCAATTAGATGTCAAATAACAAACCGATAAAAAAGCAACATAAGTTTGTCATCATGCTCAAGTATCACACAACGTATGTAGTTTTAGAACATTTTATATTATAAAAATCTAAAGGCACTGGTATGGATTTAAATTCTCTCTGATTACGTGGTAATTAGAGAGGGTTCAATTCTCTTAATTCTTACCTCCTCTCTCAATTTAAACAAGTGAGATCATGTCTTGTAAGTTTTTGACTATCACGAATATGATTTTGACTATAGTGGTTTTTAAGATTACTAGTGATTCAGGACCGAAGTGGTTTTCAAGATAACAATGTAAATCTTACGTAGCATGATCTCATTCATTGGAATTGATATGGACGTAATGATTGAGAGGACTAAACCCTCTTTAATTACCACCTAATTAGAGAGGATCCTGATCTAAACCTAAATTAACAATGGTAGTTTGATTTTTTTAAGTTTCCAGAAAAATTCTATTATTATTATTACTTAGAAATTTATCTTCTTAGATCTGCGATGGTAATTTGATATTTAGCTTTTAGGAATATCCTATTATTATTATTATTATTATTATTTTATCTTCCTAAATCCACAATGGTAATTTGATTTTTTTACTTTTTAGAAACATCCTATTTTTATTATTAATTAGAATTTTTTTTCCATCTAAATCAATAATGGCATTTTCAAGACCACTATTATGAGTGGGAATCCGATGTAGTGCTAGTTTCATCCCTTAAATTAGAATAAATGATAATTAGACTCTCCCCAATTACCACCTAATTAAGAAGAATCCAAATTTAATTTGGAAATTAAATAAAAAAAAAGTTTGTTTTCTATTTTAGTCCCTTATATCTTTCATATTTTGAAATTAGTCCCTCAAAATAACATAATATATGAGGGACTTGATATCAATTTCAGTGATATGAGGGACTAATTCAAAATATGAAACATTTACGGGACTAATTTCAAAAATATGAAAATGTAAGGAACTGATTTGGGAAAAAACACGAAAAAAGGGAAAACAAACTATGAAACAGATTAGCAATTACATTGTTTTGAAGGCCACATTTACAAACATATATAACTTTGGAGGTGCATATTGATAAAAAGCCCAAATTCTTAATGCCACTTAAAATTTTCACTTGGGTAGGAGGTAAGTACTCAAACTTGAAAATTGCTAGCCTTACTTTAATAAAGAAAGTTATCAGTTAAAACATCATCAATTAAACATCTGAATAAGAGTCTGCATTTGATATTTAATTCCATACATCCGCACAGAAATTTCAATATGCATACTCACCTACGCCCAACAACATAAGAATATGGATATATTTTTAGATAATCAGTTTGAGATATAAATAAAATGTTAATGATACATGATTGAGGTTCTCTCTTCACAAAATAAATCGCAAGCGCTCAACAAAACATTGGTCCGCTTCAAAATTAGGAACAACTCAAGACCATGGCAACCTTTCATATTTTAACTTGAAGAAATACTAGGTCTCTTCTGCGAGGCGCAATTTGATCATAACTCTCGAAGAGATTTTGGTAGGGCATGATAAGTGAAATTTTCAATCTCCAAGAAATTTGCGCTTCTTGGCAGTGTTGATGTAATTTGCTAGTACCCACTCTTTCTGATTGTTTTCACTATGATCTACTGTCCCTAGCTCAATCTGCAAGAAAGAAAATATTGATCATACACATTGGCACTGAACAATGCTAGCAATCTACTCTTGTAATCATAGTGAGGCAAAATATAAAGTAAACTCTACTAAAAATTACCTTGTAAGGTACCAGACAAAAGCGAGGGCCAATTTCAGTCAGTTCAACAGATTTGGGACCGCCACGTTTTTCATAGATGTGGTGCCTGCATTGTAAACGATATTTTTTTTACCAAAAAAAAAAAAGAAGCTCCGTTTTCTGAATGGAGAGATTATTGAAGTTTCTTGCACAATTAGAAATATTGGTAAAAAGAATACATAGCACGGCTTATATGAAAACAAAAGCTATAGCAGTCGGGATCTCTACAATAAATTTTGAATGAATGTTAGTACGAGTTCAGAAACTGTAAAAGCCTTACAAGTTACATTACTAAAGAGTACTTTTCATTCTATGGTTTTCTAATGCTTTTGATGAAGTGGGAGCATGTGGAATGAATACAAAAGGAAAGTCTATAGTTTGGTGAAGGAGAGACATCTTCGCTATGTTGCTAGAGCCTTGAGTAGTTTGTTTGGTGACTGTAATGAGTGTCTGGGCATCATTTTGTGTATTTCAGATGGAAAGAGGAAGAAGCGGATAGATTGTGGTCTGATAAGTACAATTCATCCTACAAGCATTACTAAGCCATTAACCACATCATCTTTTTACTCCTCAAGTTGATTGCTAGTAGAAATAAAATAACAATAATGATATTGTATGCTACTCACAACAACCAAGGTGATCATGGTGAGTCCATTCTCATTAATTTGGAATGGAAGAGCTATGTGCATTTTGGCTATGATGTTAAACCAGGACATCATCTTGAGGAAAGCTTAGCCACCCCCCACCCCCCCCTCTTTCCTCCAAATAAGGAAAGCTTAGTGTAAAGTTGGTGGATGTATTTAAAGAAAGTCAAGATTAATTTGGAATGGAAGAGCTATGTGCATTTTGGCTATGATGTTAAACCAGGACATCATCTTGAGGAAAGCTTAGCCACCCCCCACCCCCCCCTCTTTCCTCCAAATAAGGAAAGCTTAGTGTAAAGTTGGTGGATGTATTTAAAGAAAGTCAAG